TGTGGCCACATTGGCCATAGTAAATTTCATTTTGTGGGCTACAGAAATTTTATGATTGGATATATTCTATGTAAAAGGGAAGTCATTTTTTACACTATAATAATTTCATGAACCACAGAAAAATTCTGGGGTCAAAGGTTGGGAACCACTAATATATCCAACAAAGTTGTGTAAATGATTCACAGAACATGGAGTAGGAGAAATAGCAAAGAAATAAAACTAACTCAGAGCTACAAAAGACAGAAAGCTGTGGAGAAACACGATCGTCCACATCCTGGAGTAATATGGCACACAAAAGAAAACATTAGCACTACTTAAATATACTGATCTACTCATTAAAAATAGAGAAAAAAAATTAGGGAAGTAAATAATTTTTGTAGATTAACGTTAACTAGACTTTCCTCAAAGTGCAGCATTTGTCAGAATTGAAAAATATTAATGTTTTAATCATTTCACCCCAAGCAAAACAATAATGCTATTAAGACATAAAGAGTTATTGAGTGTTAGAGAATATGAGGAAAATACTATTAAGGAGAGAGAACAATAAAAGAACGAGAATTAAGACAGAAGATAATGATTGACATTTCATTTAAATTTTTGAAAATCAAAGTTGAGTGGGAAGCAATAAGCCAGAAGAGAGTTCCACATGTGAGAAGTGTGATAGATGAAACTATTAGCATATAACTTATGGTTACATCTAGCCATTTCCATTGTAAAATGATGAGACCTAGCCAACAATCTAGTATTCCACTTAAATTCATACAGTCTCGGTACCATAGAGGAAAGTTCATCAGAGCAATTACCATGAAATTATAGAAAAGACAAAGGGAGCCACATTACAGTGGCGTGAAAGTGACAAGCTGAGGTACCAAGTCAGTACCAATGAGATTGCTGATTCTTAGGATTTTATTAAGCATCTCTAAATATACAGCAGGAGCACCAGACCAGATGTGGCAACAATATTCAAAGCAAGGACAAATGGTAGACTCATAAACATACAAGATAGATTGTGACAAGAAAAATTGTCTAGCACAAAACAGGGAACCAACTTTCCTAGCAACAGACCTAGCAATTGATTCAATATAATCTTTCCACTTCATGTCAATGAAAAACATTAGTCCGAGAAGGCACAATGAGTCATTCTCCTACCATGCTAATGAAAGGTAAAAAGGGTTCTTTCAGATGCCAATTTGACATTATCAAACTGCTCAAACTTACTATTAAGACAGGAATAAATGGTTGTGTCAACAGCATAGTTACTGAGTTGAGAACGGATTCCACCAGGAAGATTTTATAAGCAGGATTCTGTACATAATATCAATCTATAATTCTCAAAATGTGTGTGTGTGTGATCGGATATTGTTTATGTATTTTCACAGTTTTCATCTGATTTCGATGAAATTTGTTTTGTTTGATAGATAATTCTTCAGTGCCAATTTTGAGTCCAAATTGTTGGCGTCAATGGCTCTCCACTACTTCCTGTCTATTATAACTTTCAGCAACGTTTTACTATTTACTATCTGTTCTTGGATATATATCTTTCATAAAAAACTTTCATAAAAATAAATATTTTAAATTATTACAAAAATATTATTTATTATTATACAGTTCCCTTTTCAGCCCCTCCCCCATTCAAATTGTTAACAATACCCCCCCATTTGGGGATGTGCTTCAGTTGCACCCAAATGTTGTTACTAATATTGATTTTCAGGTGGGCTGACTTTAAACTTAAACTGCTCCAATTAATTTCCAGTAATGAAAGACCCAGTCAAAAACATCTTATACTGCTAGTACTGTATAAAATTATTCCCAACCTTTTAAAAGAGTTATCTGTTATTTATAAATGTCAAGTTTGAAACAGTGCTTTTACTCAAGTGTTATGTAGTATCAGTGCTTCTATATGGCATTGAATGCTGGACAATCTCCTCACAGATGAAAAAGATACTTGAAGCAACAGAAATGTGATTCTACAAAAAGATGCTGAGAATGCCATGGACAAAACATGTGAATGACGACAAAGTTTTAGAGAAAATGACAACAAAAAGGACACTTAAGTATAAGTATTCTAGGGTAGTATTCAATCAACATCAGAAAGAGAGAGTTGAGATTTCTGGGACACATGTTGAGGAAGGAGAGCTTGGAAAATTTGATACTCACAAGACAAATTTAAGGTTAAGAAAGAGGAAAGCTATACGCAACTAACCTGGCGAGCTTGAGTGAATGGATGGTGGAGCAGAGTATTGGAGAGATGGCAAAAGTTATTAAGATCTACAAGGGATGGAAATTTTGAGAAAAGAAGCTCCAGCACCATATAATGTTTTTTTATTTTGTAAAAAATAAATTAAGCTGGAAAATACAAGCTGATCTTTAATCAAACTTCAAATACTAGCAGAAGTACCTGTCTGCGCTGGATAAGACTTGGATATTGACAGTCAAACAATTCCTTAGTCCTGAAAAATAGTCCCACACAACTCCTAAAACCAAAACCAAATTTATAACCAAGAAATGTATAATTGACAATTTTTGTTGATTTTGTCTGAATTTCTGGAATGAGGAGTTATTATTTATATCCAGACTATTGTCCTCATCTATGTTGTTATTATTGGAACATTTCAGTCATTTTGCCCTCTAGGCTTCTTCAGGTTGATCCACATAACCTTCAGCATTTTGGGTATGATGATAAACTACATCTGGTAGCAAGGCCTCTGAGCACAGAACCACCTCTTAATTGCTTTTGTTCCCAGAGTCACCTGACCCAATGTGGTAGCCCCTGTTAGGGCCCTAGCTATGGGCAAATAGTGAACCCCCAAACTGAAATGAAAACATGAAAATATTAAAATACACTAGAAAAAATTACCAGCAATACTTTTTCATAGTAAAAAAATTAAAAGTAATACATTATTGGAAAAAATTAGCAAAACTCACAAGAAAATGAAATTTTGACATTAAATGACCCATAAAGAGTTGATATGCCGTTAACCAAACCTTCAGGGAATTTTGAACTAAACTCTTTGTTTAATTTAGATTGTTCTTATTCTGCTCTTTATGTCTAGACATGTTCTCGTTTTATTTAGTGATCAGTTTAAAATTCTCTGAAGTTTACCATATTCACAGATACTTGAGTCAAAACAATGTGATAATAGCAACAAAGATGAAGATGTTAGTCAGGATGTAATTAAAGTAAATAATCTTTGTTGTTTTCATTAACAAGATGATGATAACAGATCATCGATATATTGAAAATATGTTTAGGTAAAATATTTTAGAAAGGACCAGTTACTAGAAATTCTAAGAAAAAACAAGGTAAAACACTGCTAAGACGTGACCCTATCAGTAATGTAAATTTCTGTTTAAAAATTATGAAAAGTGGAATCGCATTGGTATTTAATAGTTGGCAAAACAATAATTTTTTATCTATTGGTAGGATGAAGTTAGTTTTTTTTTTATTGTATTGCATGTTTTTTGAGGAGATTTAAAAATAAAAACATTCTTTTGCCTGTTTGAAAAAAATGATGAATAGAATAATAGAACCTTTCACTATCCAAAGAAACATCTAATACAATTAAAATCTAACCTCTCCCTACCAATAGAATTATAAAGATTTGCTGACATTACACACTAATGTTATATTGAAAGATAATAATTTCCATTGGCAGAAATTTGGATTACTGATGAGTCTACACTTTAACAGTGTTTTAACTTGTCTTTTCTTGGAATTTCCAGGAACTGATCCTTTCCAAAATATTTTACCCAATCAGTCAACATACTTATATGATGCTTTATTAATCTTTGTTGTCAAATAAAAAATTATTAGTCATTATTCCCATTGTTTTTGTTTACATTAGAAAAATAAAATATATTGCATTTGTTTCTAATAAGTTTACAATGAAAAAAAAGAGTTTGAAGTTTATATTTTGAGGGAAAAATTGTTCACTGAAATTGCTTTTCCAAAACAAATATTTTTCTTGTTCTGACATCACCAATAAAAAAGACACAATAATCTTATTCTGAACACTTACAAATAGTAATTGTTACTATAAAAAATAAATTTATATAACAGAAAAGCTGTAGATGTCTTTCTTCATGAGAAGAACTAGTTTTATTTTTTATATTACTTTAAACTTTTCCTCCAGATCCAATCAGTATGCATGTTAAGTTTGAGAACTGTACACAAAATAGTTTGGTTGTGTATAGCAGACTGACAAAATAACTCTTTCTATTTTATATATCTATAGATGAAGCTGTGTTTACCTAAGGAATCACAGTATTAATTATTTCATTATTTTTAATTGAAAGCCGTGATTATGTTTCATGTGATTAGTGTGCCCTTACATGGAGACTAATGCTCCCTGCACTCAACTACCTGGGTGGTCATGACAGTTAGAGATTACCTTCCTGATGGTTCACTTTAAGTTTTTTATTATTATTATGATCATCTCCTGCACAAGGTGTTTAGAAAATAGCTTAAAACTACCCACAGGCGATATGTATCCTTCAAATATAAATAGATTTCATACATAGACTTTTGCCTTTTCACCTGCGGAATTAGCTTGTCTATTGTATGCAACCACAGTACACAGGTGTTTTGAAATTTAAAGCATCCAGAAATTCAACAAAGCATTTGCTTTATGAACAATGACAAGTTTAAGATATTTTAGATTAAGATTATTGTATGTGAAATTTTTTCCGCATGTCTCTTTACTATTGCTTAAGCTACAAATGCCATTTAAATTTTTTTTTCTTTTTGTCTGCCACTCTAACAAATATCTGGTAATTGTTACTAAAATTTCCATGTGAACATATAATTTCTAATAAATATATTAATTTTATTTTATTTTATTCAAGATTATTTGATTTGAAATTTTCTTTGTACATCACCTTACTATTGCTTATGCTACAAATGCCATTTAAATTTTAGGGGGGGGGGGTCTACTGCTCAGTAACAAATATCTGATTAATTTTTACTAAATTTTTCTTGTGAACATATGATTTCGAAGGCTTACAGCCATATCACATTGAATCACGGGTTCTCATACAATCACCAAAGTTAAGCAACATTGAGCCTGATCAGTACCTAGATGGGTGACCACTTGATGCGTGACCACAGGTACTGTAAGCTTGGATGTGTAGATGGTGTAATGGATAACAACTTTGAGTTAAAAATTGGAGAGCCGAGTTCCAATTCCAGTCAGGTTCATCATATTAACTTACATGCAAGTATCTTTAGGAAAAGTATGAATGTACCTTTCTCCACCAGTTATGACATTTATCAATAAATCAGTATTATCTCCGAAAAATTTTTACAATCTAAAAATATTTTCTGGCTTTAAATAACCTGCAGTGTGTTGATAAGTCATAAAAAACAAGTATGATTTTTAACAAATATATTAATTTTATTTTGACATTTAATTGTCGGAATTGAATTTGAAAGATTTCATATATTGGACTAAGGTAGTAAATAAATACAAATCCCTTTTACATCCTGGGTAAGATGATAAACTACATCCAACAGCAAGGCCTCTGATCAGGAGGTTTTGAGGAGCATGGAAGCACCTCTTAATTCCCAGGTCCACTCTGACCTGGGGTGGTAGCACCCATTAGGGTCCCAACTATGGACAAATAGTTAAGCCCCAAACTGGGAATAAAAAAATTGAAAGTGTAAAAATAGGTTTTAATACCTGCAATAAATTTTTTGAGGAAAAATTATTACCAGCAATATATTTTTGAAGAGAAAATATTACTTGCAATACACTTTTGAAGAAAAAAAATATTACCAGCAATAAAAATCTTGTCGGCATTAAATAACCCATTGAAGTTGATATGCCATAAAACAAAACAAACTAAACCAAATACCTTTTCAGCAACAAATATTGATTTTTTTTTTTTTTTCATACTAATAGTCTTATCAGTTTAATCATTTGATTTTATTGATTAATAATAGCATAACAATTGCTTTTGTTTTTGGGTGGTCCAAAAGTTCATTTGGTTATTAAGTAAAAATCTAAAAAAAAAAAAAAATGATTTAAAAATTTTTATTAAACAACATATTTACCATTTGGTCCATTATCTTTTCTTTCTTTTTAGTTGCATATATTTTTTAAATTATTTTTTTCTTCTCTATTTCTCTTTGATTTTTTTTTTTTTGGTGTTTTCAACAAACACACATTGCCACTTTTGTGATGTCAACGAATACTCATTGTCGCTTTGGTAAGGCTCATTGTAGTAGACTTTGTAATTACAGATACAACTATAGTATGTTGTTGAACACTACTGGTGTTAGACACCTTTGAATAGCACTCACATAAATAGTACTTCCTCAATAATACTCGCTTGAACAGTAATCCGTATAGTGATCCGAATAGAGAAATAGTATAGTGAATAGAGAATAGCAGTCTGTATATTAATAGAGGATAGAGTAGAAATGCATATCCATAGAGGATAGACTAGAAATGTCGATCAATTACACACATGCTACCTCCCTTATATGCGTTTCCTCTATGGTCACGTGGTCTACTTAATTCAATAATGGGATCGCTTGTGTTTGCTCACTGGCGATCTATGTTCAAACTCAAGTGTCGGCAGTGACACTTTATTCCTATATAACAGATTTTCTGACTTTAGTTTGAATGTAAAATATTCTTCTTGTTTATGGGCCATGTCCCTTCAGGATATATGCAATCATGGCTCTTCACAATTTCCTGTCCTTTGATGCTCTTAATAAATTTTTTCGTTATTTCTCCTAAACCTTGTTCCACCAGCCATTTACTCAAACTCACTAAGTATGTTATGTTTTTTTTCTCTGTCCCTCTTGCCTTCAATCTGTCCTGTGAGTAACAGATTTTCTAAGCCCTCTTTCTTCATGTACCCTAGAAATTTCAACTGTCTCTTCCTGATGTTAAATAAAAGTTTCCTTTTTGTTTCCATTTTCTTAAAAATTTTGTCGTTGCTCACATATTCAGTCCATGGTATCCTCAGCATCCTTTTTTTACACCACATTTCCGATGCTTCAAGTCTGTTTGAGGAGATTGTCCAGCATTTACTGCCATATAGGAGGAGAGATATCACGTAACAGTTCAGTATTCTTTTCTTTGTGTCTAACAAAATTTTTTTCTGTTTCTTAATACTCTGCTTAGCTTTTGGAATGCATCTTTGGCTATTTCAATGCACCTTCGGATTTCAGTGTTGCATTTTCCCTCCTCTGTTAAAACAATTCCAAGATATTTAAAGTTTTGTACTTGTTTGATTTTGGTATCTCCAATTTGTAATTTGCATTTTTGCTCATTCCTTTGTTAACAACTATGTCTTCTGTCTTCTTGCAGTTGATGTTTAATCCTTTCTTCTCGCTTTTTTTTCACTTCCTTCTGTAGTTTTCTTTTCATGTCTGCTATCAACACTAATACATTGGAATAATTATCAATGTCTCTGTTGCTTCTGTAATTTTCTTCAGGACCTAGGTGATCATGACTCTCTACAACGTCCTATTCCTTGTATCTCTTAGCAACATTTGTCACTTTGCTATCTCTTCTACTCCTTATTCTGCCATCCATTCATACAAACTCATCATATAGGTGCCTCACTGTCTTCCCATCCTTTCTGCCTTTGACATGACTTGTGAGTATCAGATTCTCCTTCATCGTTATGTGTCCCAGAAATTTTAGCTGTCTCTTTCTTCTAACTATGTGTCCTTTTCATTGACATTTTCCTTAATTGCAAATGTAACCAAAGGTAAAAAGAAAGTGTCGGAATTATTTGAAATTGTGTTTTATTTTGAAAAATATATTCAAATTAAAGACTTATAGTATGTTCACTTTTCAGTACTTTTGTAAGCCATGAACATAGTTACTTATTTAACTAAAAGAAAAGTAGAGAAAGTGACATTCTGGTTGTAGTCATTGGATTTTGCTGCTCTTTCACCTCATCTGATTTTTTTTTATTTGCTTCAACTTATATTCTATGGACATCTGAAATTGAATTGTCAGATTTTATTATGCAAGTCAATTCTTTTTACAATATAACTCCTATTAGCAATTAATGATGATACAACTTTTTGGATGATATTATTATTATTATTATTATCATAACAGCAGCTACCTTTTTCCAAAGATTCCTGTCTGTTAGGGTAGCTAGCTAATCCTTGTGGCAGACACCCATTCAGGCACATCCACAGAGCCAGTTTGTGGTTTATACTGCTCTATGATGATGGGGAAGAGAGTTCATAAAAGAGCATGATCAGTAGTTGAACAAAGTCACTATGCTCAGACATATTGTCACTTTGTCTTTCTTTGACAGCTTCTGAACAGTTTTGTCTACCAGTTTCACTTACAAGGCTTAGGTCAACAAATGATGTGGGTTTTCAGGCACTTCCCAACAGAGTTGCCCACTGAGATTGTTTCCTCAAACTGATATCAAGAAGTCACCTCCTTGATAAATTGCCCATAGTGAACACTGTCCTCATGATCTAAATCCTAATGTTCTAACCACTTAGCCATGTGCCCATTATACTTATAAATATACCTTGTGGATTTTGCCTTATAATATCTGTTTTTATTAGATATATTTGTAATAATTTATTTGGTGATGTAAGAGTTTATTATACAGCTTGAGAGCTGCTTATCAAATTGTAATTAAATAAGGATAATACAATAGTTATTGATTTTTATTTTTAAATTTCAGCCATCTAATGATTGTCATGAGTCGTAGGGAAGAGAAACAAGATACTGTAAAATTGAGTGATGAGGACACAACATTGTTAATGAGTTGAACAGAGATAAAAGAAATAAATTGAAAACATTGGCAAGAACATGACAAAGACTGGTTTTGTGAAAGTCAAAGGAAAAAGATTTGAGAAAAATTAAAAGGGTAATAAATAAAAAAAGCGGGGTGGCTTAACTAACCAGAAAATATTTGAAGAAGCTGGTGTTGCAAATTTAAACAAAGAGGAAAGATATAGAATATTAAAAGCCTTGGCTAAAGACATGAAAGCAACAAAACCTACCACCATAAAAAGATAAACCAATGATTATTTCATTTCTTTATTTATTTGGTATACATGAATTTAACTAACTTTTAAAAAAATCAACAGATTTTTGCTGTTTTGAGAAAAGAACAAGCCAAAAAATCTCTTCAGGGAAAAGTATATGTTTTATTTTTAACTTTGGTGAACCCAGTTTTAATTTGAGGATTTATGTAGACTTAGGATATGTTGTGACAAAATATTTTTGCTATGACTACACTCTGAAATGACAAAGATTTAACTTTGCAGTGAGAATTTCTGTGACTAAATTAATGTCTTAACTATTTTTTTTTTTTTAATCACTGATTTACCTTCATAAATAGACTCATTCTGATTACCTGTTTACACCTTGGCCTCTAGTTGTTCAAAAATCAAATCAAACAACTTGCCACCTAACTGTCTGCATCACAAACGAGAATTTATAATTAGTGCCATCCTTACATATGACTCAGTTTTTAATTACTTTGAGCTTATTATCTGCAGGGAATTCTGCTTAAAGTCTCATCTGATATCTTGTGGACATAATAACATTCCTTTCAGATTTTTAAAAATTGTAATCCCACATCTTTGTGTTCAAATGTTACAATCAAGTAGTCAGCCCGATGTATAAGTATCTGCATTAAATTGCCCCCCCCCATTTGCTTTTTCATTAATGTATAAAGAATTGGTTGTGTCAAGACTCCCATAACCCCTTAGAGTCATAAGAGCACCATATGTATTGCAGGCATAGTAGCAGTGGTGTGTTTAGGACAAGACAGCCTTTGGGTTGGTTTTAAATTCAGTTTTCCTTCCCCAAAACTGGCTGCCACCCAAAGCAATAGTATAAAGTTTCTCTTGCTATTTAGCCCATAGCTGGAAAATATTGGTTTCATGTCTTTTTTCAAGAGGTGATTTGAACAAAACAAAATTGATTAGAATTTGAACTTAAAAGGCCAGTAGCTGCTACACCATCTACACGTCCACATGAATAGGTATGCTTATTGAAAAAATATATGTATTTTAATGCCATCTTTATTACTGCTTTTGTTACTCTTACTGTCAGTCAATTTGTATACATTTGTAATCCTGGCCACAGGGGCA